AACCAAGTGTGATGTTTTATAGAAACGTTAAATGACAGAAACAACTGTGATGTGTGATGATTCATGGGATTGTAAACATAAAGAAACAAATGTGATTGATCACAGGAGCATAAACCTTTCCACCAACTTTGTTTTCATAGAAACGTTAACATACAGAAGCAATTGTGATGGGTAATAGCGACGTTAGTCCATACATGTACAAACAACGTTGATGCGCCATAAATGCGTACTTCTGTACAAATAACTGTATGATGGGTTATCTGTATATTGCCGTCTCTGTAAACAATATTACACCAGAAACTTTGAACCGCTAAATGGCAAAACCTCTTATGCTGTCAATGACATGCAATATGCTCTTTGAAATTTGATATACGTTGATTAAACAAAAGGATACTTACAACAACGAATGAATGGTCATCGTTCGGCAGCGAACCGAAGAGAAAACCAATTTTTATATCAACATGTCATCCTCCCCGGCCATTCTATTCAGGCTACGACTGTCCATGTTTTAGAAAAAAACAAACTATCGAGCCACTTATTCTACACTTAGTGCCCCGTAATGTAGACAACGTGACGTGAGAGACGGTACAAGGGACACCTTGGCACCGCTGTGTCATATGGATGTAAGGATCGTGTGGATGGATTCTGTAGGAAATATGTCAAATCCAGGATGCAATCATACAAATGTGATGTCTTTGTTGCTCCTCAGAGGAGACCTAAGCGTAGTGATAATACCAATAACTAGAAATTGTTGGCTAACAATCTGACGGGCTTTTCACATCACAAACCTATTTTTCAACCTCATTGTCTTTACCCTCTGTGATCAAAACGATTATCTTAACCAAAGTACTGAACGTAAGCTTTGTTTTCCGTTTAGTATAAATCAAAGTACTGAAAGTCCTCATACACAACTTAAAAAAAAAAAAAAAAAAAAAAAAATGGATTGTCACTGTAAAATGATCATTCGACGTTTTTCAAGGTCATTCATTGAAATCGCATTAAGCCCTTCATTTATTAATGCTCCTTGCCAAATATCATGTACCTAGGCCTCTTCCTTGTTTTGAAATGTTTGACCCTTGTGACATTGATAGTAAATAAATGTCAACCCTTTTTTCAAATTTGATAGCCAGTTACCTTGGCAAGTAACAGATCAAATATCAATACTCTAGAAATTTCAAAGAAGTTTTTCAAAGGTGTTACCTTGAAATAGCACATTCGAAATTTGACCCCTATCGAACACCATAGTTGACCTTTGACACAAAAATGTTTCCAACGAAAATAATGAGCATTTGCGTTCTCTACATCATACAATAATATAGTATAAATGTCTGAAACAATTTTCGAAATATTTTGGTTAAATGAATTTCTACTTTTTCTTTTTAAACATTTGACCTCTTTGACCTTGAACGTTTATCAAAGTCAACTATTTTCCCAAAGATGATAGTAAAACATCTACGCACCCTATATACATATTAAATAATAAGACTCTAGACCTCGTAGAACGCGGAAAGAAGATTTTAAAGCTAGTAACCCAAAAAAGTGTTGTTGAAATTTGACCCCTACCAAAAACTGGAAGTTGAAACAAAAAAAAAATATTTCTGAGATGCCATCCATATCGTACAAAAAACCCATAATGTTTATAACTGAAACAATGTCCGAAATATTATGGTGTTAAGAAATTGGAGATGTTTTAAACATTTGATCTTCATGACCTTGAAAGTTCATCAAGGTCAAATATTTTTTTCATACCTGATAGCCAAACATCTTAGCCACAACAGATTAAATAGCAAGACTATAGACCACGTAGAAATTGAGAAGAAACTTTTTAGAGATAGTTACCCAAAAAAACACTTTTAGACTTTGACTTCTTCAACAGAAATATTCCCCGAGAAAAGTATGTGAAATTACAAACTCCACACCATGGTAAAATATTATGTAAATGCCTCAACAAATTTTCGAAATGTTTTGGTTTAAAGAAATTTAAGCTTTTTATAACATTTGACCGCTCTGACCTTGAATGTTAATCAAGGTCAATTATTTTATCAAACCTGATAGCTTAACATCTCAGCATTTTAAATATCAAATATCAAGACTCTAGATCTTGTGGTACTTAAGAAGAAGATTTTTAAAGTTTGTTATCAAATATGGTGCATTTGAACTTTGACCCTTACCGAAAACCGAAAGTTGACTTTTAACTCAAAAATGTTTCAAAAAAAAACCCATTTGTTTTGATGTTCTACAAAACATATCCAAAGATGAAGTTAATACCTTTTGCCATTAATAAGTTATTGCAATTAAGGTAAAAACGGATATGACGTCATGGCAGCCATTTTATTTTCTCAGTGAAGTCAAAAATGTTACCAAGTTAGGAAGGAAATCTAGGGAAACTATATTTAAATGAATTTACCATCATACACATTGGAGAAAGATAGGTTTTAACAGTTTTAAAAGATCAAAGGAATATTCAAAATCGCATAGAATGTTAACGGTAAATGTTACAGAAAAATTGAAGGCATTGAATTCATCAGTATGGAATTCCCCATCGATTACTAAAAGATAGAAAAAAAAATGAAAAATGAAAAAGTTGAAAAATTGGTGACCTTTGACCCAACTGCGAGGATTTTTATTGACCTTTTTTGGTATTTTAAACATGTAATGAAAAATAGGTTAGCCCCGAAGAATGTCTACACATGACAAAATTGCATGAATGCTGTATAATCAATGGTTTTTGAGTTATGGCCAATTTTAGATTTTGACCTATGACGTCATGGCGGCCATATTGGATTTTTGACCTACTTGAAAAAGCTGCATGCACACTATTAGACCTTGGCCTACTAGATACAATAAAGACAATTAACACATCTGCTACGAATCAAAACATAAGCTGCATACAAAATCATGGCAAAATAATTATAAGAAGAAGAAACAAGAGGCCCAATGGGCCTGCATCGCTCACCTGGTATTAATCTCACAATTGTAACCTTAAAATAAAGCTACAGGCAAAATATCAGGGTCTTGACTTCAAGTCATTCGGAAGAACCTGTTAAACGATTAAAACACATTTGACCCCTGTGACCTTGAAAGTCAAACATGGACATTAAGTTGAACAAACTTCATAGCCCTTCCTCCAGGAATTGCTAAATATCACCACCTTATACCTTTTGTTTATTGAGAAGATGACTTTTAAAGATTTGTGCACTATGGACCAGATGTGACCATGAACGTGTGTCAAGGTCATTTACATCAATAAGCAATCCCCTGTTTGCTTTAGTTATTCAGAAGACGTCGTTTAAAGATTTTAACATATTTGACCCCTGTGACTTTGAATATGGGCAAAGGTCATTTATTTGAACAAACTTCGTAGCCCTTCATGCCAACATCCTTCTGGCCAAATATCATCACCCTGGACATTTGGGTTATACAGAAGAAGTCGTTTCAAGGTTTTCAAGACAATTGACCCGTGTGACCTTGAATATGGGTAAGGTCATTCATTTGAACAAACTTGGTAGTGCTTCATCCCAACATTCTTCTGGCAAAATATCATCACCCTGAAGCTTTTGGTTATTCAGAAAAGTTGTTTAAATATTTCAACATATTTGACCCCTGTGACTTTGAATATGGGCAAAGATCATTCATTTGGACAAACTTGGTAGTGCTTTATCCCAGCATGTTATTGGCCAAATATCATCACCCTGGGCCTTCTGGTTATTCATAAGAAGTTGTTGTAAGATTCTAATATATTTGACCCTTGTGTCCTAGAAAATGGGCAAAGGTCATTCATTTGAACAAACTTGGTAGCCCTTCATCCCAGCATGCTACTGGGCAAAAATCATTACCCTAGACATTTTGATAATTCAGAAAAAGTCGTTTAAAGGTTTTTAAGACAATTGACCCCTGTGACCTTGAATATGGGCAAGGTCATTTATTTGGACAAAATTGGTAGTCCTTCATCCCAACATTCTTCTGACCAAATATCATCTCCCTGGACCTTTCGGTTTTACAGAAAAAAAATGTTTTAAGGTTTTTAAGACAATTGACCCCTGTGACCTGGAATATGGGCAAGGTCATTCATTTGAACAAACTTGGTAGTGCTTCAAACCTACATACTTCTGATGATCGAAACACTCTTACTAACCGTCGGTAGGTGAATTTAAAGATACCCCTATATGGTGTCGAGAAACAGTGTGATCATTGGTCAGTAATTAAACATTGGTCAATAATGACCAGAAGATTGATACATCGTAACTGTCGTATGTGTTCTGGAAACTCAACACACTTGGGGGATTGCACATTTCGAAACTCGGTAATAGATACGGTAAGTTTAAAAATTACACCGCATCAGGCTACCGTTGCGTCTTTCTAGGACTCAATTGTGATGCTAGCGGGGCCAAAATGTTGGAGATTTAAATTGGTTTCAACTACACGTAAAAACATAAGGAAAGGTACATAAAAACTTTTAATTTGATGAATTTCCAAATCAAGAGAAGCACTGCTTTATTTCAAACAAAAAATAAAATAAGTATGTATATTATGAACCATGCCACCAGTAGAGTATACCACCATGTACCTTGAACGATGAACGTAACACAAGCACAGTTGATAACATTAACCCTAAAATATTGTATTTACTAAGGTAGTCATGTTCGAGACCTACGTGGGGCAGGCGCTAGATACTGGCCGTAGGTTGGTGGTTTTTCTCCGAGAATTCTGGCATTCCTCCACCACAAAAACCTGGCATTTGCTTAAATGACCATAGTTGTAAATAGGAAGTAAAACAAAAACAAACCAAATGTTCTAGAAAACTGAATTAGAGAAAGGATTTATGAAATACTGGGTCGAAGTAATAAGCCAGGGTTGCTGTCCCAAAGTAGTTTGATAGGTTCTAACTAGGATAGAGAGTATCCCATAAATAAGTATTTTAAAGGTGTAATTCGACATACAAACATACTAATTTTTATTAGATGAAATCTGTATAATCAATGTTTACAAATTACCTTCAGTGATAGGATAAATCCAATATCATAAATTTCTAAACAAAACATTACATGCGACATAACATTCACCTTTATTTTGTTGAATAAGGCAGTTATGAAAAATTGACAAAAATTTGAAAAGATATACATTTCGTTAACTACAGCTCCTGTCTATATTTTGTAAATGTTGAAAATGAATAAATGGAGAAGAGACATTTAAAGTACACGAGATGGCAAAATATGATTTATGTGATACACCTATGACAACGAAGATGATTGATATGACGGAATGTCGGTCGCCGCTCGATAGATGTTAATACCAAAATCAAAGTTTTTATATTAACATCACATCAGCCAATACTTATCCGATATAACAGTATTTTGAATACCGATATAACAATATTTTATTAAAAAAAAACACCGCTCCCTGACACTTCCCAAACAATCTTTCTCATCTTAGGTGTCGAGTAACAAATGTATACACATACTTATATGGATAAAACTCTGTAGTCCAAAGCAACGAAACTAATAAGCGAACGTGCATGTAAATTGAAACCTTATAAACATATTAATTTCAAATATCTACTTTGTACAACTTATTTGTGATTTCCCATTCGGCTGCCCTGTTAGAACTGTCACAAGGAATCATCATGGCGACCTGCTTCTCTGTTGAATCCACTACCTTGGGAACTTGTACAGCACATTTAGAACCAAAGATATCTTTGTAGACGAGTTGCTTCCCTTTAAAACTCCACTTACTAATCCCTTTTGAGCACGGGGATATTACTAAGAAGTTTTGTTCGATATAAACACACTTGCCGTCAACCATCAAGAGACCATTTTTCAGCAAAGCAAAATTTCGAACTTTGTAGTAAATGAAGCAATCGCCTTGTGTTATAATAGGGAACGATCCCACCACAGAGGAATCTGAAGGGCCGAAACAGAAGCCTGAACCCAGGTTGCGTAGATGTCCAAAATATTCACTTCCTTCTGGAGGGATCTCAAGTTCCGTGTAGACGTTTTTAAGCAACCAATCGAAGTCTTTGCATTTAAATTTCTTCTTGATTTCATCCATTTCACTAAACGTTTCAGAGGGTCCTGGCGGTTTTGCAAATCCTGCATTAAAGTAATAGAAGTATTTCCTGTAGTTTCCAAGCCACATTTCTGCAGTTCGCCTGTTGTTATACACAAGGTCTGAATAGTCCATTTTAAACGGATGTGCACTTTTGTGAATGTGGGCAACATGAGAACATGGCGAGATTTTCATACTCCCGCCGCAAAGCCAAACTCTCACGGAAAGCTCAACATCTTCTCCGCCCCAAGTGCGCATGCCTGTGTCAAGTCCTCCGATGTCTTGAAAGTATTTCCGGTTGACTGCAAATGCACAGCCTACAATAGCCGGAGTATTGAATGCTTTAGTTGGTTCTGCTACCACCTCAGCCTTTTGCTTTACGGTTAACGGAACATATTCAAATCCCATACTCCATTTAAAATGTCCTCTGAGGTTATTCTTGAAATATTGCCGATATTGGAACGTATCGGGATCAACGACGTCGATTGAAGGTTGGACAATAGCAGTATTGTGTTTGCTTATTTCGTGCAATAGCGGTTCCAACCATCCAACGTTGACCTCGGTATGGGAGTCCAAGAAAACCACAACGTCGCCTTTTGCCAACTGAGTCCCCAGGACTCTTGCCTTCATCGTACCGAGTCTTTCTAACGCTCTGTGTATTTTTAAGACATCGAACTGTTCAGCATATCTATTAAGAGGATCTCCCAAATGGTCTAAGTCACTCATATCATCAATGATGATGATTTCCTTTAAGAGTTGTGGAGGCGAACGCTTCAAAATACTATTGATCAGTCTCTCTAACGTAGACCAAGGCTCATTATGAAGCGGTATCACTATGGACGCTACCGGAAGTGACGCAATTTCATACTGTACTGCCGCACACTGAGAAGGCCGCGTATCCTGTACATCTCGAGTCACAGAGGTCATGTGAGACTTGTTCACATTAAGATGAAAACGGTTTGGATCAGTGTCTGCATATAAGGATAAACTGAACTCCTGAATTACCGCTGAATAACTTTTACGTGAATTGGGAGGTTCGTTGACATTTTCTTTCCCTTCGAAAGTCTGTTTGCTATTCGCCTGAGTAGGTTGGTTAGTTATGTAGATCCATAGCAACAGCAACGCCCAGGAAAGCACAAACATCAACGCAAAGAATGACCGGCATTTTCTCGGGAACTTTGTAGGAGAAATCAACATGGTTGTGTACTACTTGGCGAACAGTGATCCGACTGGTAGGGACAAGTGGATATGACTCTGGTACTTTGTATGGAAGACCAGTAATATTTCTAACATTTCATCTTATTCCATGTTTCCAAAAACATTAATTGATATACCCTTTCTTTGGTAGAGATGTATATTATACTGTAATAATGTACAGCAGTAGGGTAATGTACAAGGAATGTTATGTTGAACAGGTGTGGAGTATATTGTATAGAGCGTGCTGGGTTGTATATACATATAGGTAATATTGTATTGTACAGGTGTGAGTTTTATGGTAATGCAAATATTTTACAATAAGTGTAGGGTGATTGGTCGGTCGTATATCTTCCTTATTGTCAGATTAAATTGTTTAATGATATTTGTTTCAAATTTGTTCCAACTCGAAGCACTTGGTGGATGGTGATTGCTCCAGAAAAGAACGACGTCTTGTACCATTTTCACACGTATGGCCGGTACTAGCCTCCATACACTTTCGCCGTGGTCATCAATCATATTTGTCAATCACGAGCGTTACAGGTAAGACAACTTTGGGTAGGCATGTATGTGATACTGAAATGTTGTACATTATCAAGGTGGTATTATCAATCATTACATGTGAACTTAATGTGTGTTTACGTATCCTAAATATTTGTCATGAAATGTTACCTGTCTGTATACCATTACATATGTACAGTATATACATTTGTATTGAAATATAAAACAAATATAAATATTTGTATAATATTCATTTGCATAAACATTTGTATATATATATATGGGCAAAGAAGTAATAAAGACAGTGCAGACAAAGAAAGTTGTAAAATTTGTAGGGCTATCCGCCCCTTTATCAAGACAGGAACATGAAAATTTACATATCACAACATATAACAGAGAAACAAAAGTACAGTAAAACATATATAAACGACCAGAAGTTACTTATATAAAATATGCAGTTGTAACTGCTTATCCCCTCGGTTAAGGGGCCGCGGTGGCCAAGTGGTGAAGGCGTCTGGCATTCTGCTAACACTAGCCCTCCACTACTGGGTCGCGGGTTCGAGGCCTAAGTAGGGCAGTTGCCAGGTACTAGCCGTAGGTCGGTGGTTTTTCTCCGTACGTCAAAATGGCGGACGGGGTCGCTCACACTCGACAAGGTAGAAAACTAAGGTCACAGATGGAAAATAGGGGGTAATGTGATAGATACTGCATACTAAATGCTGGTACAACGGTTTTAAATATGAATTAATACATATTACAGAGGAGAAAAACGTTGGATACCATGATTAACGGTTAATTAATATGAAAGTAAAAAATGTCTATTTGTACATTATAAATTATATGGAAGCACAGAACATTTCCAGTAATTCAATCATAGGTTTGGTCTCCAAACTACCAACACCAAATTGTTTATTTTTATGGATCAAAAATATCAACATAAGCAAACATTGGTTATGCATTAAATGTTTTAAAGACAAATTGTCAAACTTGATCCATGCTGCACTCTATAATGAAAATCTCGAAAAGATCTTTTGGTCAATCTTGAACATCCACTCCTCAAAAATGTTTCCTCTATCAAAACAGTTACCTTATAGCGAGAGCTTTTTCAAGAAAGGCGAACGCCGATATAAATCTATGGCTGTAAAACATTTTCGGAAAATATTTTTGGTGAAAAAAACCCCAAACAGGCCAAAATGAAAACTACCGAGGAAGAAATTGTGAGAGCGGTTGATTCCTATTTGACAATATCTATTTGTTGAGTGAAGCAGCACGATTTTTTCATTTTACGGTTATTTATAAATTCAGCCTCGTATGGAAACAAAACTTTGACTTTCCTATTGGAACAAACTGTGCAACTTGGTTTTGTTTTAATATGGGGCTGAATTTATAAATGACCATACAAGGACTGGACTGGTTACACAGAAACCTAGCGAAGTCCTTCAATGTCATTCTCAGATATATCCAAGATATGCTGGGTTTAAATTAAAAAAAATAAAAAATGACCACGTCGATCGTATAGTCCATCCTCAGCTTGAAATCAATGACATTGCAGAATCTTCAACTACAGCTGCTTTCCTGGATCTTTTCTTACAACATGACAAACAGGGACTGGTTGCATGGCTACAAAGCTGTCGAAAAGCGGGCCAATTTCAAATTTCGAACATGAACTTTCCCTTTCTTGATAGTACCGTTACATACCGGCTTCCCTTAACTACAGTTTTTTTTACATATCGCAGTTGATTTGGTAATTGCCATGAATATCATGACTTCTGTGGTAGATATCGACTGTTGATGAACAAACTTACCAGACATGGTTTCCAAATATGCGGGTTGCTAAGTATTTTGGAACTGTTTATCGCCATCATGATATCATTGAGAAATATGCTATTTCGTTTTGTGACATGAATGTTGTTTTTATAATTAGACTCATTAGTGTACCTTGTTATTTTGCTGTCACTAACCCCAGTTCTTGCGACGAGGTCAAGATATATTTGGATTTGTCATGGACTTACACGATGGTTAATTGGTCGATGAAGCAAAATATGCTTACAATTCCGGAACACATTCTTATTCTCCTTGTACTCTTTTTGCAAGTGTCTCCAAGTGCATCTATTATTGATAATGAGTTCAAATAAGGATTTTGCTGACACTGTTGTCTAAAGCTTTTATTCTTGTTGTAAACTAAACTTTTCGCATTTTGTCTAAGATTTCGTCCAGGTACATGGTAAGAAACAAAATTAATCTTTTCTTATCTATTCTGTAAATTCTGTTTCGTATCATGTACCTGGACGAAACTTAGACATAGTGCGAAAAGTTTATTTTACAACTCATTGAGCAGACTTAATTCCGTAAATGCATCCTTTTTATGAGAAGCCAAAGATATTTTAACCTTATCACGAACACTTATAATGTAGACACTATATGCCACACTTTGTCCAGTTTTGAGATACAACTGAAAAACGTACTTGTCTAGCCATTTATTGTTCACCATTTAATGTTGTTATTGATTATATATTTGGTTTAATTTTGTTTAACGTCTTATTAACAGCTTATGTCATTTAAGGACGTGCCTCCATGTATTTTGTGTATGCGTGCTTGTATGTACATGTGTGTATGCAGGAGACATGGTATTTCGGTGTGCTTGCCTCCATGTGATAGCGCGGATCTGATGCCGACTTTATAGTTCTATCTCACTGAAATACCTGCCGAAGGCACCCAGCACGGCTTTGTAACTGTATTACATATATAACATACATATTGTTGTCAATTCTTTCAGTGAAGAATAAGTTTAGGAGCTCTTTCCATTTCAGGTGACTTCTTGTATCCTCTGACACAGAAAAGGAAGTTCCGGAACGCAGTTGTTTGTTAAACATCATGTTCTGCAAATACAAAATAACTACTAAGTATACGTAAGTATATATCAACGCGTCCATTATAGAAAATGACCTAGCGACTATTTGGTTCCGCTTCTTAAGGTGAAATCAGTGCAACCTTCGCGCAACTTCTTCAGTAAAAACCAACGGTATGTACTTAAAATATAGATTTTAATATAAATTGTGGATGCGATGATCAATTTGATTGAGACCTGTCAGGGAATGAGGAACTCGGGCACTCACCAACGGAAAGAATTGAGACGTAGTTATGGAGACGTCAAATACTTGTCATATTTTCCTCGTTAGCTCCAATTTCATACCCAAATTGTTCTATGAATATTGTAGGAAAATTTGTCACAAACCATAATGCCTATTATCAGGCGATTTTAAGTCATACATTAGGCTAAATATGTGGAATAAATCCTGCACCTTCCATCCTTTCATACGCAGCGTTCTGAATGGTCGGAACCATACCTCAAACCGGAAGTGCATTAACCAAAGAACGGTGACCTGGTGTCATTAATGCTTTTTTTTCTATTGATGACTTGTTTTCATTTAACACCGCTGTAAGCTGTTCCGATATAACGGAAAAGGTTAATGGACGAAGGTGTGGCGATGTAACTAATAACACGTAATCCATATATGTGTTTGTATGGACAATTACATATCGACTACCTTGTCAGATCATAGTTCATTTAGTGGAAGTCCAACAACGAGGCATGTTTTTTTTATGTAACTCAAGAAAGAAATCGAACAGGAACCCATTTAACGATGAAATGTTAATGTAACAACGCTCCGCTGATTGCCATTCATAAACTGATGCATTAAGCAGAAAACAGAAATATTTTCGGAACGTCTAATAAAAGGGAGATAACCGCTATACTGGGTTGAACTGCATACTGTTTAGAGTTATTGTTATACAAATCTAAAGAGGATTGCAAGCTAATCGAAGGACTGCACGTTATTGCGTTTTGAATATCTGTCTGCAATCCTGTTAAGTTAAGTATTGGACTTTAATTCTGAACAGAATGCATTGCCTTGTGAGAATATCACCTTCCAATATCGAGCAAGATATCTTTATGATTGTGATGTTGCATTCTCGTGTCCTGGACGGGTGTATCCACACATTTTCTCGGTGTAAGATATCTTTTCTCTTACACTGGCCAGGTGTACCAACACTTTTTTCGGTGTAAGACATCTTTTCTCTTACACTGGCCAGGTGTACCAACACTTTTTTTTCGGTGTAAGATATCTTTTCTCTTACACTGGCCAGGTGTACCAACACTTTTTCTCGGTGTAAGATATCTTTTCTCTAACACTGGCCAGGTGTACCAACACTTTTTCTCGGTGTAAGATATCTTTTATTTAAACACTGGAAAGGTGTATCCAAACTTTTCCCGGTTTAAATGAGGGAATTTCACAGTCATAACAATTGTATGACGTCACGTCAATAATGCCTCGATTTAGCAACCATTCCCATAACAGGGCTCATAAGGATAACAGAAAAAATAACTTTGCTCTCCCTTGGGAATGAAAACGGGGATCTCAACCACTGGGAAACATTCCCAAAGTTAC